TGTTCCCTGGGCATCCAAATATTGATCTCAGCAGTATATTTCATTAGCAGTAGCCAGGGCTCCTTCAAAGAAGCTGAGACCCTATTTGGGAGCCAGGGGAAGTCAGAATGGCCTGAAACATGTTGCTATTGCCAGAGAACCAGGGTGCTGCAAAAAATGCTGGACCATTGCTGCAGAGACAAAGGGGTCAACTGAAAGGGAAAGGGCATCACTCTGGTCAGGTTGTGACAACCTGCATGTTACAAAGAATAACCAGATCGACAGTGTTGGTCTGTACGTACAATCTGAGTCTATCAAAAGCCATGGTCCATAATTATAAAAAGGAAAGGTTAATATCATAGGTACTGTAACACACATATAAATGTGTAATTACAATGCTACTTGTAATTCAAAGGGTAAAAATAGAATATTTTAGTAAATAGGTAAGTTTGGCATATATGGGGTTCTGTTTCTTTTTAAATTTTTTTCTTCATTGATTTTTAGATAGAGAAAGGGAGGGAGAGAGAGAGATTTGTTGTTCCACTTACTTATGCATTCATTGGTTGATTCCTGTATGTGCCCTGACAGGGGATTGAACCTACAACCTTGGGGTATCGGTACCATGCTCTAACTAACTGAGCTACCCGGCCAAGCTGGTTATTTTTATTGTAATTAGCATTTTCCTAATGACTAATGATGTTGAGCATCTTTTCATGTGTTTATTAGCCATTCATTCATCTCACTTGGTGAAGTGTCTATTCAAATTGTTTGCTCACAGTTTCACTGCATTTTTGTTTTATTATTGAGCAGTAAGATTTTTTTATGTATTTTGGATACAAGTCCTTTATCAGATATAAAACTTGCAAATATTTTCTCATGGTCCCTGAGTTGTCTTTTTTTCTTAATGGTGTCTTTTGAAAAGCAAAAGTATCTCATTTTGATAGAAATTTAATTAATTTTTTTCTCTGTTAGGGATTGTGCTTCTGGTGTTAGATCTTAGAAATCTTTGCCTATCCCAATGTCATAAAGATTTTCTCTTATCTTCTGGAAGTGTTATAGTTTTAGCTCTCATGCTCCATTTTTAGTTGACTTTTGTGTATAATGTGAAGTAAAGGGTTTGGCTCCTTTTTTGGCCTATGGAAATCCAATGGTCCTGCCTCCGTTTGTTGAACCGCCCAGTTTTTACATCACTGAGAAGGGAAGTTTCCATATTCTACTGGGCTCTCCATTTTCTCTGACAAAGAAGCCCTGGAATTTCAATCACTAGGATTGAAATTACAGTTAGAAAGATAATTTGAAAATATACTATTATTTGTACTTTCAATAAATATTTTATTAATGAAGTTAACATTTTCTTACAGGAATATTTCTAGAATGTCAGTGTTTTATATTCCCTAAGTAGCAACCCCGGGGTGCACATCCTTTAGCAGACATTTTCCCCTAGGTGGTGCTTTTTCCTGTGTTGTGAAGAGAATTAAGGTGCTATTAGTCATCTTAGTGCTAGCTTATGTTTAGTTTCTCCTAAGGTGTTTTTGGTTTATTTATTTTCACTTTCCTTTGGGCAGGAGAAAAATTCCTAAATAGAAAAAAAATCTCTTGCTGAAATTTTATTAAATCATAAGAATGCAGGTCATGCATCTAAATGTGAAAGTAACTTTTTAGTTTAACAATTGAGTCAACATTTTCTAACTCAGTATTTGTTTTTTAATTTGTTTTTAAATTGTAGTTGACATATCATATTATATTAGTTTCAGGTGTACAACATAGTGATTAGGCATTTATACACCTTACAAGGTAATCACCGTGATAAGTGTAGCACCTGGCACCGCACATAGTTATTATGATATTATCAACTCTTTTTCCTATGCTGTACATTACATCCCCATGACTGATTTTATAACTGGAAGTTTTAACCTCTTAATCTCAATCTTTTTAAAAGAAGTTTCTACTTGCTCTGAAAAGGTTTATGCTCGTCATACGTAAACAGCTATTTGTTTTCCAAAGTATTTCTAAGTAGATGCTCAACGTTTGACAGGCAGCAGAACTTTAAAAACTTAAAAAGCTGCTTCTAAAATTATTTCTAAAAATGTAAAATCTAAAGAAAAGTATATACAGGTATCATATAGTAAAAGTATCGTGTAATTCATGAAATTTACAGTGGCTCATTTCTCAAACAGTTTCTCTCTAGTGCAATGTCATTAAATAGGATTTTCCCATTAAAAACTAGGAGGGCCCTAGTTGATGTGACTCATTTAGTTAGAGCATCGTCCCGTGCACTGAAAGGTGGTGGGTTCGATTCCTAGTCAGGCTCCATACAGAGGCAACCAATCGATGTTTCTCTCTCACATCGATGTTTTTTCTCTCTCTCTCCCATCCTCTCTCTCTAAAAATCAATAAAAACATGTCCTCTGGTGAGGATTACAAAAAAAGAAAAAGACACTAAACTTCAAATATACCAAACTAATATACTATTGTATGTCAACTATAATTGAAAAATAAATTTTAATAAAAGCAAAAAAACAAGGGGGGAGAGGGAGAATTATATACCTATATACCTAAGCAAGATCCTAGTTTTTATAGAATTTATTATAATAAATTCTAATAACCATTTGTAATGAAGTATAAACAACATACTGTATTATATTAATGATTAAGCTTTCTAAAGTATATGAAATATGTAAATGCAATGATATGAACTAATATAATAGTGTATTTGCTGAAGTTTTAATATTCTCTTATTTAGTGACTTTGTTTTACTTTGTAGGTAACAAAGTCATAATAGATCTTACTGAAGTTACACAGTACAGAAAAGTGTAGTGTCATTGTTTTGGGGGAGAAATTGTAGCTTGATGATTAAGAAACTGATGCCAGATTGTATGGTTTTCTCCTGTTCTTATTTTCAAATCTTTAGCTTCCCTATAATAATTAAGATCACAAAGCGTCCAAGGTTGGGAATCACTTTCCAGTTGGCTTAGTGACACATGTTCATTTTGACATGTCTGCCATGATAATCAAAAGGAATACCATAGGTTTAGTTGGCAGAAGGGCATACAAATTGCCATATGTCACTATCTAAACTGGATATTATTCATGTTTCTCCTGCTAGTGACATTCTAGAGACAAAACAGTAATTTGGAATGCTTCCTTCACGTAGAATGGTCATAGTAAAGGCGGGAGGCGGGGACTGACACTCAGGAAAGAGCACTCACAACTGGTAACTTCCTAGGAAACCAGCATCAGTGTGATTGCCAGCCATCAGTGCCAACATTTCTGAGTGGTCGGGAAGGTACATGGTGTAAAAATAGGTGAGTTTTGTAATAGTGCTGCCTGAGTTCAAATCCTAGTTTCACTACTATCCAGCTCTGTCCTTAAGAAAGATACTTGGTCTACTAAAGCCTCTTTAAAGTTTAACTTTCTTTAAAAATGAAGATAACAGTACCTACCAGGATTAAATGAAATAATGCATGTAAGATATTTATAGTTCCTGTAACAGTAAATTTAATAAATGTTAACTTTTATCATAATCATAATTGTTGTCATCATTAAAAGTACTGCATTTGGTCAGACATACTCCAGTACAGACCAGTTAAACTTTGCAAACTCTAATCTTCTAGCCACAGAGTTCCCCAAAGTTTGGAATGAAGATGACCCAGGATGCTAGCTAAAGGTACAGCTGGAGCTACTGAATTGGGATCACTAGGGTGGACACCCAGTAGTCTGGGCTTTTAACACACTACCCAGGGATGTTCTTTTTGCCACACTAAAGTTTGAGATCTTTTGTCCAGGCTTTCCTTTATTGTATTTCACAGATCTTACTTTTTTAAAAATTAGAAGCAAGACCTTTGCCAACAAAAAGATTATGCCTCGTTTTTTTGCAGTGGTCTAGAAGCAAACCTCCAGTATCTCTGAGGTATGCCTGCATTAAGTATTCTTGGCATGGCCATTTCTCTTCCAGATCTGCACTGCACCCCCCAACCCTCTGCCCTGTTAACTCTTGATTTAGAAAAGAGAGGCATTCCTGGAAAAGTTGAAGATTGCCCATAATTCTATTTTGTTCCTTGAACTATTTTATCAATTGGATATGAATTTCTACAGAAGACAAAAAATTCCCTTTGGCAAAAAATGAAATTTTTTCTTCCTTTTCAAGGAAGAAATGGTGAAATATAGCATTTGGTCTGAAATCTATAGGAGTGTGTGATTCCAGCAATTGCTCCACCCATTGCTGGGCACTGGAATTTTACTAACTCATTTAGGAACTTGAAGAATGTAATTGTCTCTCAAAAATCAAAGTGTCGATAGTAACCACTCACATTTATAGGATACTTTTTCAGCCTAAACAGGCCCTTCAAATCACACAGCCACCCAGTAAAATAGGTCAGCAGTTTGGGATTTGCTTTAAAAAGTAAACTAAGGCTTGAGAAGGTTATAGGACCCTCCCAAAGTCATACAGCTTATGAGTGGCAGAGCTGGGCCTAGAGCCAGGTCTCAAAATGGGGAGAAAGTCCCAGAAACAGCATCTGCTTCGTATGTGACATGCAGACTGAAATTCTAACCATCTGCTAGTTTCCTGATCTTCGGTAGACTCTTAATTCTTTTTAAATCTGTGAAACAGAATTAAAAGTATCTAATGTACAGGGTTTTTAAATTAAATGAGATGGGATCTTCAAAGGCCATATTTCAAATGGTGGTATTGTAGTGGTTTGATAAATTTCCACTTCGTTTTCCCTTTTGACTTCATGTCTCTTTTGACTTCATGTCCGCTAAGCTTGGGACACTTACTACTGCAGTTGGTTCCTGCCCAAATCAGAGCCCTTCCTCTTGATTTTTTGGCTACCTGGGATAGGCTAGGTAGTTCAACTAAAGAGCTTCACTCCTTTTTCTGGCATCTTCTTTTGGTAGTTCACCTGGTGGCACAGGAAAGAAAGCCACTGTGGACAGAAGTGTTACTTAAGGGCTGAGCTTTCCCATTTCTAATACGTCAGTGCCACAGGAGGGGACTCAGGAGGCATGGCAGCTTAATACAGTTTGTGACTAAGGTAAAGTATTTCTGTTCCATTCCCTAATGTCCAATTTAAATTTTTAATATATTTACTTATACCTAGTTTCCATTGTATATTTGGCTTTATGTCTTTACTCTTTGTGTAGTATAAATTATTCATCTGTAATTCTTTTACTGCCAAATTTTGCATTAAATATTTTCAAGGTATTTTGAAAATATTTTGAAAGGTTAGATTCTCATATCCCGCTATGCAAATAAAAAAGAAACATGACCTGTGCTGTCTCTTTTTTATTTTTTCAGTCACAGTTTATATTGAATATTATTCTCTGTTTCAGTTGCACGGTAAAGTGGTTAAAAAATCATATACATTACAGAGTGGTCCCCTCAATTCTTCAAGTACCCACCTTTCCCCATACGTGTTTATCCTGATATTATTGACTGTATTCCATGTGCTGTAATCCACATCTCTGTGGATGTTCTATAACTACCAATTTGTACTGCTGAATCCCTTCATCTTTTTCACCCAGCCCCACAACATCTCTCCCCTCTGACAGCTGTCATTCTGTTCTCTATATCTATGACTCTGTTTCTATTGTTTGCTTGTTTATTTTGTTTTTTAGACTCTACATATAAGTAGAATCATATGGTATTTGTCTTTGTCTGATTTATTTCACTTAGTGTAATACCCTCCAGTTCCATCTACTCCTATGCTGTTGCAAAAGATAAGATTTCATTCTGGCCAAGTAGTGTTCCATCGTGTATATGTACCATAGCTTTTTAAAAATTTATCTTTATTGTTGAAAGTATTACAGATGTCCCCCCTTTTCCCCCATTAGCCCCTTCTACTCCACACCCGAACCCAACCCCAGGCCTTCACCACACTATTATCTGTGTCCATGGGTTATGCATATATGCATGTAAGTTTTTTGGTTAATTTCTTTCCACCCACCCTGCCTTCCCTCTGAGATTCGTCAGTCAGTTCCATGCTTCTATGTCTCTGGACCTGGAGAGTATTATGCTAAGCGAAATAAGCCAGGCAGAGAAAGACAAATATCACATGATCTCATTCATATATGGAACCTAAAGAACAGAATAAACTGATATACCACAGCTTTTTTATCCACTCATCTATTGATGGGCACTTGGGTTGCTTCCATATCTTGGCTATTGTAAATAATGCTGCAATGAACATAAGGGTGCATATAGTCTTTCGAATTAGTGTTTTGGGTGTCTTTAGATATATTCCCAGAAATGGAGTCTCTGGGTCATAAGATAATTTTCTTTAAAAAATTTTGAGGAACATCACACTGTTTTCCATAGTGGTTACATGAATTTGCATTACAACCAACAGTTTAGTAGGGTTCCTTTATCTCCACATCCTCAACCCCAGCTCTTCATTTGTTTGTTTCCATTTTCATGAAATGTCTTTTTCTATCCCTTTACATTCAGTCTGTGTGTGTCTAGATTCATTGAAGTGAGTCTCTTGAAGACAGCACATATATGGGTCTTGTTTTGTTCTTCATTCAGCCTCCATATGTCTTTTTTTTTTTTCATCAGTGAACTAATTTATTATAGGCTGCAATGTTTCAAATTGTGGAGCTTCTACTTGTCTTTCAATTCCTTCAGTCTTCTGATGGCAGACTTTACTGGGTCGACAGAAGTGTTGTAGGTCCAGGCCCCACCAGCTACTGTTTTCATGCAGGAACCATAGTGCCAGTTCCCTACAGCTCATCTCATCATCTTGGTTTTGCCACAGGAGGAACAAGTGTATACTTGCTGTGCTGGTTGATTTCAGTTTTTTTCACCATTTTCCTGAGGGAGGCACCATAACTGGTCCCATATTTACCGATGATTCCAACCTTGGTGTGTTGAGCCATATCACTGCAAACTACGTCAGAACCTGAGCCCATGTCTTTTGATTGGAGCATTTAATCCATTTGCATTTAAAATAATTATTGATAGCCCAGCCAGCATGGCTCAGTGGTTGAGCGACAACCTATGAACCAGGAGGTCATGGTTTGAATCCCCGTCAGGGCAAATGCCCAGATTTTGGGCTCAATCCCCAGTAGGCAGCTGATAGATGATGTTTCTCTCTCATCAATGTTTCTATCTCTCTCTTCTTCTTCCTTCCTCTCTCTGAAATCAGTAAAATAAAAAATAAAAAAATAATAATTATTGATAGATATGTATTTATTGCCATTTTAGTATTTACATTTTTCATCTTTATTTTTTTTCTTCTTAAAGAAAACTCTAACATATCTTTTAATACTTGTTTGGTGGCGATGTACTTCTTTAGCTTGTTCTTGTTGGGAAGCTCTTTATCTGTTCTTCAATTCTAAATGATAACTTTGCTGGGTAATCTTGATTGTAGGTTCTTTCTTTTCATCGCTTTGGATATTTTATGCTAATCCCTTTCTGCCTGAAATGTTTCTGTTGAGAAATCAGCTGAAACACTTATGGGAGCTCCCTTGTAGGTAACTGTCTTTCTCTTGCTGCTCTTAAGATTCTTTGTCTTTAACCTTTGACATTTTAAGCGTGATGTCTTGGTGTGGACCTCTTTGGGTTTATCGTGATTGGGACTCTATGCTTTCTAAGGTACTCTTTATTTCAGATATTGATCTGCTTTGTCTTCTAATCTTGGTATGGTGGTCTTATGTAGTAGGTATCTTGTGGGCTGTGGGACAATCTTCCTGGTCACCTGAGCTAGGTGCTCTAGGAATATCTCTTGTGTGGCTTATATGAGCCTTTCTGTTTTAGTTCAGTCTTGATTTCTGTTTGCCCATCCATGTGTGGGGTTAACCCTCAGGCTGGCTGACTATGCAGATATGCAGATTGATCTCGGCCACAGTGTATGAGCCACTGTGTGTGTGTGTGTGTGTGTTGGGGGAAGGTGCCCTCCAAATCAGAGTTGACCCTGGCAAGGTCTGGTGCCTGCCTGGATCACCCTTTGGGTATTCCACTTGTGTGGCTAATTGGGTCATGCTGTGGTGCGGTCTGAAACCCATCATTGGTTGTATTGGTTCTGAGTCCACTTGGGAGAGACTCTGCAGGTGAATGTCAGATGCTGTCTGTGACCAGTTTTGGGCTACCTGTCTGGAGCTACCCAGCTATTTGCAATTTGTGGCTGCCTCTACTGGGCCTGGGTGCACGTGGAAGGGGCCAAGCTGTGTACAAAGGTCAGCTTCTACCAGCTCTGTGCCCAGGGGCAGATCAGTAAAAGGCCCAAAGCACCCAGAGATCCATCTTTACCGGTTCCTGCTCCACCCTCCCCTGAGGCTGCTGGATTTCCTTGAGAGCCTTCCAAACAAAGTCTATACAGTGGGCCCAGGCTCCCTGCAGCTCACAGACTCTTCCACAAGGCACAATCTCTATAGGGCAGTGCAACCAGTGTTGGGAGGACAGGGCTAGCGGATATCCTGTTTGGAAATGGTGCCAGTCAGGCACTCATTTAGGGGAAAGTGGCCTTTACTCTAGAGCCACGCCATTCAACCTCTGCCTCAAGAAAGAGCACACTGCAGGTACAGGCTGGGTACAGCCAGCAGACTCTTCTGCAAGGCTGAGATTAACACAGTGTGGCCATGGGGGGGAAGGTCAGGCATGAGTTAATGGGTCTCTTGTTGGGGGACGCCACCGGTGACATGCAGGGGTGGAGGGGAGGAATGGCTTCTACTTCAGAGCCATGCAAGTCAGTGTGGTAGTTAAGAAACTGCCAGGGCAGTTCTGTCCAATTCTCCAACAAGAGCTCCACAAGAAAAAAAATGTACCACATTTGCAGGCTGGGTGCAGCCAGCAGACTTTTCTTTAGGATGCGAGCTCAGCAAGGTGGGGCCACTGGGAGTTGGAAGGATAGGCCAGTGAGTCTCCTGTTGGCGGCCAGGGGCCAATAGTGCACAGGGAGGAAAAAATGGAGCCACACAATTCAGTGTCCTTTCAAGTCTCCGACAAGATTTTCTCAAGAAAAAACGCTCTGGTGCAGTCTCTTGGTCTTGCCTTATCTTTGCGACAGGCCCGCTACAGGCACACCGAGTGACTCTTAGTAGAAGAATTCTTGGTGGACAGCAGATCTAATTCAGGGTCCGTGTTTGCTTGACTCAGTTCATTGCTGCACTGTTACAAGTTTAAAGGAGGGGCGACACAATCTGTCATCATGAGTGTTGCCGAAGAAAGAAAGAATCCAAGTGAAGTGGTGGTCGTGACTCCCCCGCCTCTTGTTTCCCAGCGTTTCATCGCTGTCCCCTCTTGATTCACTGTTTCCTTCAGCGTATCCCAAGCTCCTTTCTCCTCACATAGCACTGCTTCGAGCTTAAACTGAAAATAAAAAGCGAGTTAAGACACTCCCAGAGCAGTTCCATGAGGCGGAATGATGGAGCAGATTTGAATGTTGAAATGCTGTCACCCAGGTCTTGACATGCCAGTGACGCTGCAAACACAGACACCTTCCCCCTCTTCTTTCCCTAGAGAAGGTTGGGGCGTGCGTCCCTGCCTCCCATTCTTGCCCCTCTCTGCCCCAGTCCTTATTCCATAATATGTTTTTCATTCTCTCTTAATATGATGGCTTTAAACTGTCTTTTTAATCTTAATAAGTCCAGGCATAAAATGACTACCTACAATTCTGTTTTCTCTGCCTGGGTGTCAGACTTGGTGTTGTGTTGCTGTTGATTTTGAGATGGTAGGATGGCCAGGTTTTTAGTTAAGCCCAGAAAACGGGGTTCCAACGAATGATTATTGCAAAAACTAGGGAAGAAACCATCAGTCCAGAATTTTTCATAGTTACATAGTTGTTGTTTTTTAATCCTCATAGAACTGGACTAACAGTGTTTAATGTTCTCATGAGCTTCAACCCAGAGAAAATACCAAAAAGAAGCACATGGAGGCTTTTGTGGAGCAGTGTTACACGGTCTGGTATTTTTAGAAGTTGCTGCTAAGGTTTTTTTCCATAAACCATAAAACCATTTGGCATTTTCTCGCTAAGATGAAATGGAATGAACTGCCTGAACTCTCTCATGTGCTCTTTCGTTAAATCCATTGCCTTCTCTG